AGAGTGATTTTTGTGTCTGTTTCGTTATAGTTGGTATTTAATTATTTATTTAATTGATTAATTTTATTAAGCTATGATAAAGTGTATTATTTTAAGTTTTGACAGGAATCGGAGTTGGATAATTATTGGAATCGAACACGGCCCAAAACGACCATAAACGGAGTGCTAGTCATGCATTTGGACGAACCCCAGACACACCCCGCAAGGAAAATCAAAAGAGTCAATTTAGAATGCCACTGAAGCCCAAATGCTCAACCCGCATGTAGAGAGCAAGATAGTCATTTTCCGAACTAAAATGTTGATGAGAAAGGGTGGGTCATCCACTCCACCGTTATCTCTGCACATCCGACCAGGATGCACCAGTCGGAGCTTCGACGCTGCTCAGAAACTGGAGATACTTATACGACCGCGAAGACGGTTTGAGGGACTGCGCGACTGTCAAGAAGATGTTGTCGCGGGGCTGAGTGTGAGCTTGCCGGAACTCGCCATGTCCAACTGCCGAACACCACCAATACGACTCCTGTCACCAGTCTGTCGCCGAAAAATACTCTTGGAGCCGGAAATCACCTTAACTTTTGTAAAAATTACGTCAATGCCACCGCTTTTTTCCACATTCGGTCTAACATGGCTGATTCGATCTCAGCAATCATTGAATGGATCCGATAGTATATATAATCATTCTTATTTCTTACATCAATTTTCTTTATCATATGATCCAAATTATATGTATTTGTGTGTGTGTGTGTGTGTGAAATTTAAATATGATCCGTTAGAAAGTTTTCTTGGTGAATTCACAATTTTTAAGAATAATATATAATATTTTAAATAATCTTACATATGTTAATAAATATTTTAGGTGTTTTAATATTTTAAACATACATGTTTCATGTTATCTTAAACAAGATAATTTTATATTGTAAATTATATCATATTTTTAATTTATACTTATTTAATATTGTTTAATCCCTATTTAGTTTGTAATTATTATTTAATATTGTTTAATCTCTCTTTAATTTATAGTAATTATTATTAGTTGATAACTCCAATTTATGCGTCTCCTATTTCTCGATAGCTAACATGTAGTAGCATGTGGCTTAGCCTTAGTGGGATGAAGAAGGTAGACAGTGACATAAGGCTTGCGTCATAAGAAGCGTCACCCGTGTTGAATCATTGCGGGTTTGATTTGTAGGTTCTTCTAGAAGCTGACTGCTGCCTCAGTACAACATATCGCCATCAATCAATCAATCACATTTATTGATGAATTATGGTTTTGATTAATTACGCAACCTCTCGCCATGAAGGGTATTCTCATTTCTTACAATTAACTTGGACCGTGTTTTGCGTTAGGTTCGGCAAAGGCATAAGAGGAAAAAAAAAATTACTTGGATTCATACAATTCCACTCTCATTCATCTCTCATCAGAGCTCTAGACGAGCCTAGTTGAACTCGAGCTTAGGGTGCTTAAGCTCGAGCTCGAGTCCTTGACGAGTCCAGTTGAGCTCGGCACGTTGTTAAGTAAACGAGCCTGAAATTGAGCTCGAGCTCGGCTCCTTAAGGCTTCGAGCTCGAGTCTTAACAAGCCGACAAACTTTAACGAGCCGAACTATAAAATATTATATAAAATTTTTATTTTCGAACCTTATCGCGAGCCAAACGAGTTTTAAATGAGCTCGAGCACGACTAGTTAAGACCCCGAACTCGATCCGAACTCAAGCCGAGCTCGAGCCGAGTCGTGCCAGACTCGTTTAATTTAACAACACTATCACTCTCATCCTTTTTTAATTTTAGGACCACTCAAAAAAAAGCACTCAATTATAGTTCAAATCAAAATTCCATATCAATTTTATGACTTTTGAAGTTAAAATTTTTGAATGAGTTTTATTAGTGAATAACTTGTTTTCAAATAAGAAGACTCTTGTAACCTGTTAATTATGCATAGACACGAGTTTTCAATAAATTAGCATACTTTTGTCTTCACATCATCGCAAATTAGTGGTCTATCACTAAAGTCGCACCTAAGCGCCTTATATTTTGTCACGGATATAACTCGTTAAGTATGATCTATATATATACATACCTCAAACCAAAGTAAATATATAGTCTTTTACTAGATTGACTAAACAACCCAATGATAGCATTAAAATATTGCGATACCTATTTTATTTAATTACTCAATTATATACATTTATATAAAAATTTGTATTCACTTCATATAGAAATTAAAATCCCGCTTAAAAATTTTAAAATTACTAAATTTGGTAAATTTTTTTACAAAAATCCCGTCTCTATAAATTAATTAATCAATTTATGGTGTAAAGTTGACGAAAATAATAAATCTGATTTTGGTATAAAGTGAGCGTTTTTATTTTATGTTTCTAATGGCCATTTTTATTGTTGGTCGAAAAAATAATATTTCACAATCGAGAAGCAGCTGTAAATCGTCTTTTTAAAAGTTATTTTTCTGAAAACCCAAAATTAATGAAACCATGTTTTGCAGACGTTTTCGGATGCGTAGAAATTTATTTTTCGTATAGAAAATACAGTTAAAAATTAAGATGATTATTTTTTGCAGCAGAAAAGAGATGCAGTTGGTAGACTCGGATTGTCTATCTATCAAAAGTTAACTGATGGGCTTACAAATAATAGCATATGTTTTACCAACAGATGTGACATATGAATACATAAAATTGTTCAAAGGCTTGGGCAGGTGCGCATACATGACGTAGTAAATCTCCAACTATTATTATATAAATTGTAGTCGATTGGGATCTTTCAATTTAGCATGCGCACTTTGGTATGTCGAGATCCAAAAAATGATATTAATGTGTTAGAGATGTCCTATTTATTTTTTGACCTTACTCGAGGAATTACCCCTCCAACACATTATGTCTTCCAAGAGAAAGTACAACATGGGGTATTATATACCAGATAATATATATCCCAAATGGTTAACTCTTGTCCAAACTATTCATGACCCATGTAGTAAATATATATATATATATATATATATATATATTGCATTGAAACAAACAAAAAAAAAACATGCGAAAGGATGTGGAGCATGCATTTGGAGAACTCCTAAGTCGATTTGCTATTGTGTCTAATCTTGCCTGATTTTGGAGTAAAAATGACTTACAATATATAATGATTGCATGCATTATTTTGCATAATATCATAATCGAGGATGAACGAGGTCATGATGCACCGATCGAAGCTGTGACGGAGGCCCCAATCCCAGATGTTTAAACGGCGAGTAATGAAGTTTCTCAGTTCCAAGCATTTGTTGCTCGATACAGACAAATTCGAGATAAAGACGCTCATATCTCCCTTCGTAATGCATTAGTTGATCATTTATGGGAGGAATTTTCTAATTCAGAAAATTAGATATAATGTTATTGTGCTCGTTGTTTGTAATGGAGTTTAATTTTACATTGCATTATGAAATTTGTATTTCTATTGTCTAAATGTATGAAACAGTCTCGTATTGTTATACAGATACATAGTTTTTATTATTAGAGTAATAAACATTTATATAAAATTAAAATTACCTACATATACTAATATATCTAAAATCCCCCTATATATAATTCCCGAATGCGCTGAGTACGTGGCTGCTTCTGGTGCTTCAGAATTCTACTTGGCGAAGAATAATGCTTCGTAATTATGTTTGGACAAACAATATTAATATATTGATAATTAATAATATAGGTTCGGATATTCAATAAATATTATTAGCTAACTTAGGTATTTTAATATTATTTGTACTAATATAACTCTTTAATTCATTGTAATTTTACATAGTGAGGCACTAAGTGACTAATATATCACTGACTTTTGATTTGTTTTCTTCAATTATCTATTGAATTGTAAATGCATTTTAAAAGTTGATAACTTTTATATTTCTTATCGGTTTTACATATATAATATATCAAATTAATCATCTTTTCATGATCTTCGATTTGACATCCATATCGTATATATGAAACAAATAAATCATATTTATCTTTATAATTTAGAGAAATAAAATTATTTTTCAATTGATATATCTATGTTAAATGTAGTTATATGCTGTAAGTTAGAAAAATTATTATATAATATAACAAAAATAAATTGCACAAATAAAAAGTGACATACTAAATATATAATAATGTATATATTTTTGTACAATGTATTTAAATTTTCAACTATTTTTCTCATTAATTTTAAAATTTAAGAAAAAAAAAATTAGTAAGCACATGTGTAATACACGGGCGTTTACTAGTATAAATGAATTAAAATATAATATATTTATCGTTGAAGATAAAAATTGAATTTGGCTTACTGTACACTAAATTAAAATAGACTCTAATATAAAATAGAACAATTGCTCAAGATGCTCCAACTGGATGACCGATTTGTTCTTCCGTAATAGAAGCTAGATTTGACCTCCTCAAATTCTATCAAATAATAGCAAATGACTATTCATTTTTCCTACGTAATAATGTCGTCTACCTCTCGACCATATTGGGATGGCGACACCACTTAATAATCCTATTTAATCATAAATTGGAAAATTCTTAAATTCCGTTGTGTATTTTAATGGAATCAATAAACACTTGTCATATCACTTTGATTTAGTAAGTCTTTATCACATCTACCGTAACAATTTTGCAAGATTCAATAACTGAGATTAAATTAACGGAATGGTACTTGCACGTCGGCACCGTAGCCAGCTCTTAACTCACTCACGTTTTTTTTTTTTTTAATTTTTTTTCCACAATGATTATTAAAGTAATTTACTCTAATGCCCCCAAAGATGAGAACAATGTGGATATTTATTTCTCTATATATATTGGCAGTAGAGACGGCCACCACTTTTTATCTCTATCCACATACATACTCACTAGACTACCATCATCATTCCCCCCTTTTTTCCAACCTATTATTCCTCAATCTCTCTTCCAAAAGGGTAACAGCTCTTCATTTTTTTCCTTTTTTCATTTCTTTTTTCTTCTGAATCTATGGCGGCCACAGACCCCCGCATCGCCATCCTCCCCAGCCCCGGCATGGGCCACCTCATCCCCCTCGTCCAATTCGCCGGTGACCTCCACCGCCGCCACCGCGTCTTCACCACCCTCATCGTCCCCACCGACGGCCCCCTCTCCGCCGCCCAGTCCGCCTTCCTCTCCGCCCTCCCTCCAGGCGTCGACCGCATCCTCCTCCCGCCGGTCAGCTTCGACGACCTCCCGCCGGACGTCAAAATCGAGACCCGCATCTCCCTCACGGTCACCCGCTCCCTGCCCTCGATCAGCTCCGCCCTCAAAAGCCTCATCGACGGCGGCAACAAGCCGTCGGCGCTCGTCGTCGACCTTTTTGGCACCGACGGGTTCGAGGCTGCCGCCCAATTCGACATCCCGCCGTACATCTTCTTCCCGTCCACGGCCATGGTGCTTTCCCTGTTCTTGCATCTGCCGAGGCTGGACGAAACGGTGTCGTCCGAGTACTGGGAGGTGGCCGAGAAACTTCAGATCCCGGGTTGCATCCCGATTCACGGCAGGGATTTGCTGGACCCGGTCCAGGACAGGAAAAACGATGCCTACAAATGGGCTCTCCACAACGCCAAGAGGTACCGCCTGGCCCACGGGATCATTCTCAACAGCTTCAAGGAGCTTGAGCCCGGCCCGATTGAGTATTTCCAGGGAAAAGAGTCGAGAGAAAACGGAAACCCGAGTGTTTACCCAATTGGGCCTTTGGTTCAAACCGGGTCACCGAAACCCGATTCGGATGGGGGCTGTATGGAGTGGTTGGAAGAGCAGCCGAGGGGGTCGGTCCTGTTCATCTCGTTCGGCAGCGGTGGGTCCCTCTCCCAGGAGCAAATAACCGAGCTTGCCCTGGGGCTGGAGCTGAGTGAGCAGAGGTTCTTGTGGGTTCTGAGGCGCCCAAGCGGGTCTGACGCCAACCGCGACTACTTCAGCATCAAGGACGCTGGCGACCCCTTGGCCTACCTGCCGGAGGGTTTTGTCGAGCGGACTAAAGGCCGGGGACTGGTCGTCCCCCTGTGGGCCCCGCAGGCAAAGATCCTGGCTCATGGGTCGGTCTCCGCGTTCCTG